TCTAGCTTTTATTCTTCTCGGATGTAGAAAATGAAGTAACGGTAGCCAACTACAGCTTTCCGCACTCAATATTGGCCCAACGATTCATCATACAAATACATGACAATATGTGACGTCACCGTTTGAAAATATCAAAAATTAGACATTTTCCCCCGAATCACTCTATACGTTGCGGTCAAAACCAGTTTTTAGTTAGGATGCGTTTGTAGTTAAAACTAGTTTATACTGGATGTCTTTGTTCAAACCCGTTTTGTCTAGTTAAAACTAGAATTTACTGCTAGTCAAAAATGAATTTGAGTTAAAACTAGTTTTAACTAGACAAAACAGGTTTTAACAAAGACATTTAGTATAAAACTAGTTTCAACTAGTTAAAACGCGTTCTAACTAAAAACGGGTTTTGACTGTAACATATATAACAATATTCTTAGAGTTTGAAATTTATGATGATATTTTTTCAACACAGTACAGTCTCTAATTAAATGAAATGCAGAAAAGTTGTTGGAATTACACCAATAACATGATTTAGTAAAATCTATATAATTATTATTTACAATCAAAGAGAATTGATTTAGTCTCAATTGTAGTAAGATATGTTTAATATTTAAAGTTGTATTCATTGTAATAATGTTCGATTGAGTGGGAAAACTTAAGATATGCNAGTTGTTGGAATTACACCAATAACATGATTTAGTAAAATCTATATAATTATTATTTACAATCAAAGAGAATTGATTTAGTCTCAATTGTAGTAAGATACGTTTAATATTTAAAGTTGTATTCATTGTAATAATGTTCGATTGAGTGGGAAAACTTAAGATATGCAAGTACCAAGGATGATATGTTGAGTTAAGTAAGGCGTTTTGATCACTAATTACCGAATGCGAAATCGCTGACTTATTCATCATAGTGTAGGCATTTTTCCAATTGTCAAACGAGTTGTCAAATAAAGTAGTATATACACCGAATGATTGCAATACTTTATTGAATTTGTAGATCCAAGTTGTTTTATTGATATTTTTATTTTCCATTTTACTTTTCATTATATGAAAAGTAAAATGTATATTATCATATGTATATTGTATATGTATATTATCATATGTATATATGTATATGTATATGTATATGTTACAGTCAAAACCCGTTTTTAGTTAGAACGCGTTTTAACTAGTTGAAACTAGTTTATACTGAATGTCTTTGTTAAAACCCGTTTTGTCTAGTTAAAACTAGTTTTAACTCAAATTCATTTTTGACTAGCAGTAAATCTANAAAACCTAAAAATTTGTAATTATCTGATGGTTTTAATTGGGGCCACTACAAACGATAAAATAATATATGAATTTAGAGAAGGAACAGCTAATAATATCATAAATGCTGCTTGTATTTATACGGATTTAATAATAATTGTGCTACAATCTCTGCATGGGTGTTCAGCAGTCCTGAAATATCTGTATAAAGCTATACGGCTCTGTAACTAAGATGGCAGCCTACCGCTTCAGGATCCGGGATGGATTCCGAAAGAGTGGAATAAACCCAAGGATTTTTCGAAGTGGACTTTGTATACGTTGGCCTCATCCGACCGCCTCATTGTGAGTCTTACAAATGGTCGATATAAATAGCTCTCTTAGTGATAGAAGAGCTTATAAAAAAGTCCTAAACTTCTGTAGAATAGAATGACATGTGGTTTGTATAACTTGCAGTAGAAAATTCGAAATACAGTCGACCCCCTATAACGTGCGTACCTATAACGGAAATTCCTATAACGTAGCGAAAAAATTGTATAAACATTCGTATAAAGGAGCTCCGAAAACGTCGTCGCCGACTCGTTTCGCGAAAAGATTGATATAAACCGGACCAATAGTGGATGAAACGCCAAACTACTTTTCTTCGCCCTGCGCCACGCTACTGAGCAGCTAAATTGAGTTTGCTATCGTCTGTACAGTATTGTATATAAATTAGGACTGTACATATAATTATATATAAATTATATATAAATTAGGTACTGTATATATAATTATATATTAACTTAATTTATTGTAAATTTATTATAATTATATATATGTATTCCGCCGCCTGGCGCCACGCTACGGAGATTTTAGGCTAATAAGTTGAGTTTATTATCGTCTGTACAGTATGTAAATTAGGTACCGTAAGTCTAATACAGCACTAATTTTATACATTTCTTATTCAACGGCCATAAAAATTACTTATATTAATGATGTTTCCAAAGGTCAAGTTATTTTTCTGCGAAAAATTCGTTATCAGAAATCGCGGCCGGCGTTTCGTGTGCTGTTCCGCGACGAAAACAAGCTTTGAGCAACGGCGTAGTCGAACGGTGCACACTCGGTAAGTAATCCTATAATTTTTTATTTATAGCATAGTTTATACAGATTATTCCCAAAAAATTATACGTGGTTTAGAAATGTTGGGTGGAATTAGTCTAGAATCGGTTAATTTTATAGAAGAAAACCTTTCAAACAGCCTTAATCCGTAAACTTCACACCTATCGGGCTGCGATTGGCTCATGTATTTAATCGTTCCTACAACGTAAAATTCGATTAACGTGGAACGTATCTAAGTGTTATAAGGGGGTCTACTTTAGTTCGTTCACAAATACTTATTTTGTTTACAAATTAAAATACAATATGAGAAAATAAGAAATTATTTCTTCTTATTTATTGTTAATAACTTATGTTGTAGAAATTATAATTAAAACGTTTTAATTACCTCTACTCTTTGTCCTTTTTGTCTTTTGGATGGACTCCACTAGTTTACAATTACAAAAAACAATATATTATGTTTTCGCTGCAGTCAGTGATAAAAGACAAAAAAACCATCAAACAGAAAACGGAACTAAAACTATCCACCCGGAAACCGTTAACGTTGTTATCTTTGCTAATTACGTCGTGTAAGTCTTATGATCGTAACACGTATGACTAAAAAAGTAACATGTATTACAAAGCCATCTCTGTTATCTGAAGATAAGAGAAATGACTACGTCACACGTATTACTTTTTTAAATTTTTTACTTTAATTAATAATTTTATTTAATGCCAAATTTTTCAGGAACGTTTCTTTATATAGGGCTTATATTGTTTATATGGGGTTTATATTAATACTATTAAATTTTGATGGTTTAAGGTCGAGCAAGTGGGGAATACAATGGGACACGTGTCGTATCTTCAGTACGAACTGAATAAATTAACAATTTACTTGTTATTAGCATTTACACTGTTTATAATTAATAAAACTCGTGTCTACTTCCAATTTCAGTTTTTTGCCACTTTATGATAGTTAATAATACAAAAAGTTTTTATATAAAATTTCCTAACGGATGGTGCGCATACAATTTTTAATGTTTTTACCGGGAAAATTAAGCAAAACTCGTTGCGGAATTTTCGAAATTAGCTGCTAGTCTTATTTGAAAACAGTTAAAAATTTAATATATTTTATTAATAATTGATTAATTTATATTGACAATACTTAATCTATACAATATCGTTATCTGTTTTATATTATTTCACAATGGCAACGCAATAATTTTAATTACGTAAGATTTAAGAAAATATAAAAAAAGTGTTAGTTTTTAAAAATTTATAATTACTTCTTGATCAGAAATTATAAATTTTATAACACTTCTTATTATTTATTGTAATATTTAAAACTGATTATTAAGACACAGCATTTAACTTGACAGAATATAAGCTCGGATAAAAAACAACGAACTATAAGGTGAAAGGCCCAGCAGTGGCCGAGTAGTTCCGTTCCCGAACACTAGGCGATGGTTCCTACCTCGCCAAAACGGGCTGGACACGCGTTGTTTTTCGGGTTTTCTCCACGTCTGTAATGCCTGAATAAAAGTCAATTATTCTTAGAAAGACCTCCCGGAAGTCATCCCTCCTAGGCGGATCATCTAAGTGTGGCGTTGCTGTAACTAAACAAAATCCAGGTAAAATAATAACAGTTGTTGAAATACAGTTTATTATACGAAATTTTCATAATATACTTCATAATTCTACTTTGAATTATTTATGCCTACGTTTAAAACTTTACAATATTATATTAAGCATTGAACATATTTATTTATAAGTTGTTTTTCTACTTTGTATTGAGCTCAGATACATTTCTTTTCAAAACTAAGGCGAAAACGTTTTTATTATCTCATATTTATTGTACACACAAACTAAATATGCTAATTATAAAAAAAATCTTAATATTTATTATAAATTCAATGCTACATAAGCTGTAAACCTCACAAAGTACTAAAGGTATGATGTATTTTTGATAAATCAATAACGGCAGACATCACGTAAAAAATAATTTCATGATATTATTTACAAGAGTTAACAGTAACTAATAAATTTCTCNAGAATAAATTCATGGATACCATTTATAACATTTAAGGTAAGTAATACTTTTTTTAAAATTCATTGTAATTTACATTTGAGCTTATATTACTCCAAAAATTGACTGGATAAAAATTCATTTATTCGTTGTTTCTGTTATTATAAAGGTAATTATAATACATTAATCATTTTTATTGCGTAAAATATTTTATTGATATTATACAAAGTATTTATTAGAAATTAATTCAGAAAACATGATTATATCACATTTTGATATCACAATATTATTAAAAATACAAATTCAGATTATGCCAGAATGCAACTTACTGCTTATTTATTATCAGATGATAGCTTGATATTATCTTTTAGACTGAAATACTGTTCAGTAGAAATCAAATACTTGATTTCTACTGAAATGTAATTGAATTTATGATTAGCAAGCAGAGCAACAACATTTTTATTTGTTTTATGTGATTTCAGTTCAAAATCTTCTGGAATTACTGCAGGATTCTCGACATCTTTGAAAAAATTATACTTGTTGTAACGTACAAGAGGGCCATTAATTCGTGTAAGGATAAGTACACCACTGAAAAATATTTTAAATTTGTCCCATTTAAAACTGTTTATTAAATCTTGAATGAGATCTACGGATTGACGAATATCACAAATCTGTTCTGGAAAAATTTGATTCATAAAGCTAACTCCTTCTTCCAAGAATTTTATACTTTTATCCAAAAATAGAGATATTTCCAATTTATCAGAATTTTTGTAAATGTTGTGTAAGTCTATTAATTTTTCTTTAATTTCTTCGTGTTCCGTTTCGGTAAAATGAAAATAAATTTGAGAAAGTGGGAAAAAAGGTAGCTTTAATATACTTGTCATCATTTCTAGACAGGTAAAATCAAAATATATTTTAGCATTTAAACAGAATAATTTTTTGTTCGTATTATTTTCAATTTCATTATAACAGTCAAGCCAATTTACAGGATGACAAACATTCTCTTGAAGAGCGTACACAAATTCATTTGGAAATTTTTCATTTCCATAAAGACCGGAGAGAAAGTTTATAAACACAAAATCGACATGATCTTTTCGTATTGAATAGTAATAACAAAGACCGATAATAAAGTCGAGAAAGTTTCCATGTATGAAATCGAAACGACTAATTCCATCTACCCCAAAATACTGTGAAATAATATCGATTCCTGTTATAAACTGATAGTCTTTTTCTTCTGGAAACTGTTCTCTTAACTCTTTTTCTTGTAATATTAGGGATTTGCATAACTCGTACACGGAAGTAGTTATGTTTTTTTTTCTCATTTTAGATAATTTCTCTAAATGTGTTTTTCCCAATTTAACTAGTAAGTCCTCTCCATACAAAAACTTTCCTTTTTTTAAATTATGTTGTTCTTTCATTTTTCTCATATATCTTTTTATCACCAGACGAAAGATTTTAATGAACAAATGTGTCATTGATTTTATTTCGTTGAAGTTTTCCGTTTTTGGTAGACAGCATAACATATGCAACATTAACGGACATTCAGCTAAGGCAGAATGTAAAGGGCTAAGTTTTATCAAAAATAAAATTTTGTACCGATTGACGTCATCCTTATCAATAACTAATTTAATATAATCTTCTTTCTGTTGTTGTGAAAATCCTTGAATGATGAATCTCATATCTACGTATTCTCTTATATTTTCGGCAACGTGAGGACGGCAAGTAACAAGAATTGTTATATTTTTAGAAATATGAAATGAATCTTTTTCAATGAACTGTATAATAGAATGTTTATCACAAACTTCATCGAATCCATCCAAAATTATTAATAAATTAAATCCTCTTTGTCTTAACTTATTTCTAGAATTGGTATCTGTATTTTTACTGATACGTTGGAGAATTTCATCTGTTATACTTTTATTCTCTAATTTTCGCAAAATAATGACGACAGTAAAATCATAATGTCCTAAATAACCAGTACGGGATGTATCGCTACCCCAATCGTAGGCTATTTTTTTACAAAAGGTAGTTTTGCCATAACCGGGATTACCAGTGAATAACATTACAACATGTCCATCCATTGATTTTGGAAAAATCTCTGTAAACTGAATAGTTTCTCCTGCTTTTTTGCCTAATAAATCTGCTTCCTGAACTCTAAGTTCGATGAAATATTCTTTCAAGGGAAAATCTTTGCGTATTTCACTCCACAACAAAGATGTCATATGAGCATTTTTGGTCTTGTAATATTTCATTAAACATTCTCTCTGTATCTGAAAAGTTTCTGAAAAATATTATACATATAAATATATTTCTCCTGTAGTTCTAATTATACTTAAAAAATTTAAGCTTACTAATTTAAATATTACTTGTGTAAATTGGAAATACATTTGAAAATTCATCACTTTTTATAACGAGTGTAAAGCATTTTAAATAAAAGCATTTTAAATAAGCATGAACTAAACATTCAACCAGCATCATGAACAATCAGAGGATTAGTTATTGTTTTCTGTATTTCGTATGCTGATTGACACTAATGTGAAACAAGTGTTCTCGTATAGGATGCAGTTGTGGCAGGTTCATTGAATAGGGGTATTTTAGCTTGAAGACTTGAAGAAAATTACTTTAAAAAAAAACTTAATTAGTAAAATATGAAATTATCAATGTTTTCTGTGAAGAACCTTTATGAGCAACTGGCGTTTTTCGTGTCAGTCGTGTGAATAAAACAGGAAAAGCTCACTTAACCTCGATCCATGTTAGTGGTTTTGTGCATTTGATTGTCTTTTTTAAACTTTAATAATCATTATTTCTATACATATTCATATATATTTATGTAATTTTATAGATAATACATTATTTAATCATCATTAGTCTTACACAAGTGAAAAACACAAGTTCATTTTACTTTAACAATTTTGAAGCTTATATACATTTATGTTTTAATGTTATTTAATTTTAGAATTCAATGTTAAATGCAGGCAACATAAAACTTGCGGGAATAAACATTCAACAAAATATAACATCAAATTTTAAAATTTTATTATTATATTTGTTATTAAATAATGTAATGTTTCTGCAAGTATTTTGTTGCTAAAATTGCTATCTACTAGACAAATTGTACAGTTGATTCTTATTTTTATATTTGTGCTTTAACAATAAAAGTCAGTATATAAAGGACTTTTCTAAACAAAAATTACTGGCAAATTCAGACGTATTTCACTTATTTATCGTCATTTATAAATTTCTATTATAAACTTAAAATTCAATAATATAAATCAATTGTTTCTAAATATTATTATTGTTAATTCACTTCACATACTTAATGAAAAAAATATATATTTTAGCTTTTATTATTTGAAATTACCTGAATCATTGTTATCAGTTGAACTGGATGTTTGATTTATATAAACATTTCCTACAATGACGTTTTCTGAGTCTTTTACTACAATACCTGATAATAGTGTTAAAATATATTATAAAATGTTGTTTTAATTTTTATGTAAAGATTTAATGAACATATTTAAAAGTAATTACACTCTGCTATTCTTCCTGTTGCTGTATCTAAGGCATCTATGGCCAAACTTCCCGATTCCTGAAATGTTTCAATAATTAAGACCTAATATATTAATTAAAATGTTATAGAATTAATTTAAATACCTATTATAAAGTCATAAGACAAATATGTATGCTATAATACATAATCATTAACTTAAAATCGTGTATTCGCAGTTAGTCAAGAGAATCTTAAGGTGTTACATCATTTTTATTAATAAAGAACTATTGTAGCAGAAAACAATAAATAATAAACAATAAATAAGTCGAAATACAATCATCTGTTATTTGTTCCGCTTAATAATTTTACGAGAAAATAGACTTACAGTATATAGAAATTTAAACATTATTTATCAGATTTAACAGCTGAGATGTTTTCTAAATTGTGTGATTATATAGAAATTATTTTAGCTGCACGATTTAATAAAGCTTATGATTGTTGACACGACTGAACTGCTATAATGTAATCTTTATAATCGTTGTTGTAACTTGTGTAGATAGAATTGTTTTTCATGTATTTTTTTAGTATCTCAAATAACATTAATTAAATTTATCGATAAAAAAGTTATCTTTACCTGACTTTCCGCCATATTTCATTACGAAGATCAAAGTTTAAAAGATCTGCTTTTTAATCTAAATATATAGATATTTTCTTATCTAAAATGTAAATATATGCATATTATTGAAAATAAATTATTTCTTAAAATTAATTACATTGACGAAATAGATAAATAGATGATACAAATTTAATTAATAGAGTATCTAGAAAAATATAATTTTCTAAAGACTAGCTTTAAAAATTTAAATAATTAACTTTTGACTAGGGAGATCGTATCGCAAACCCCAGTACTTAATTGGTTTAGAAGTTTGAAAGGAATCAATTTGGTTCTAGACCAGAATTGTTCAGTTTCGGACTTCCAGATCAATTATTTTCTGGAATTTCACCTGTCGAGGGTAACAAACGAATTTCTCGTGCCTACAATGACACAGTTACGTATTTACCTTCGATGCAGTTCGTCACGTTGGCCTGGCTTAGTGGAATGGATGCTAACGAAACGGCTCGTATTTGTTCGTCGATGGCGGAAACAACGAAAGGATCTCTTTTTTAACAACTAAACTATTTATTATACGAAAAAGTTTTCATTATTTACATCAAAGAAAACTTTTAATTCTAAACTTTTTAAAATTAAATTAATATTTTAATTTCGTTTTCTTAACACCACTTAAAACTTATGAATTATTTTGTTATTTTCAAGTACTTAAAACAAATAGAAGTAAATTAAATGATAGGGTAGCCTAGTGCCTAATTGTGTCGTTCAAAAATACATACATAAAAATAACTGCTAAATTTATATATACAGAATGCATAGGAAAGTCCTTTAACCGGAAATTCTTGGGAACGAAGAGAACTACAGCTATGCAAGCTATGCAATAAATTGTGTGTTTATTTCTTTATACCTATGGCTATTCCTTTCAAACGTTTACACAAAATGGCGTGCTTCGTTTTCGAACATTTTTTGGTGTACAGGCGACAATTTCTTTTATCCGTGTGAACCGCATGTCGTTTCGTACTAAATAACTAATGCTCTAAAACTTTCTAATTGGAAAGATTGCTCTATTTGTTTTCGTTTAATTGTGATGGGTCGATGATAATAATAAGTCCAGAGTCCAAACGATTAGTAGTTTTAAGTCAAAATTTGGTAAACGGTTAAGATACGTGACGAGAAGGTACACAAAAAAGGAATTTTTGTAAATTTCCTTCGCCGGGGCAAGGGAGAGAGGATTAAGGATTACCCTGAAGAATTCGGGTTAACTGATGCTCTTTTACTGTACTACTTTAGACGCGGAATTTTGTGGCAAATTGAAATCGAAAATAATTATAGACACATCTAAAATTGTAATTAATCCTTCTTTCTTAAAAGATACAGTAGAGCGTCGATTATCCGAATCATTTGGGGACTGGGGTGTTCAGAAAAAAATAAACGATATTTCGGATAACCGATTATGTACGAAAAAATATATTAATTTATCCCATGTTGGAATTTTTCTCCGTTGCTTGTCGCTACAATCTCTGCATGGGTGTTCAGCAGTCCTAAAATATCTGTATAAAGCTATACGGCTGAGTAACTAAAATGGCAGCCTATCGCTTCAGGATCCGGGATGGATTCCTTGAGAGTGAAATAAACCCAAGGATTTTTCGAAGTGGGCTTTGTATACGTCGGCCCCCATTCGGCCGCCTCATTGTGGGCCTAGCCGAACCCAAAATGGTCGATATGAATAGCTTTTTTAGTGATAGGAAAGCTTATAAAAAAGTCATAAACTTCTGTAGAATAGAATGACATGAGGTTTCTATATATGCTTGGAGTAGAAAATTCGAAATAGTTCGTTCACAAATACTTATTTCGTTTACAAATTAAAATACAATATCAAAAAATAAGAAATTATTTCTTCTTATTAATGGTTAGTGTTAATAACTAATGTTGGAGAAATTATAATTAAAATGTTTCAATTACCTCCACTCTTTGTCTTTTTCTGTCTTGGTGGACTCCACTACTTTACAATTACAAAAAACAATATTTAATATTCTCGCTACAGTCAGTGATAAAAAGAAACAGAAAAACCATCAAACAGAAAACGGAACTAAAATTATCCACCCCGAAACTGTTAACGTTGCTATCTTTGCTAATCACGTCGTGTAAGTCTTATGATCGTAACACGTATGACTAAAAAAGTAATATGTATTACGAAGTCACCTCTGTTATCTAAAGATAAGAGAGGTGACTACGTAACACGTATTACTGTTCACTTATCATCAGACGACAGCTTGATATTAACTTTTAGACCAGTGTTTCTCAACCTCTAGCGAATCGTCGCCCCCTTCAACGTTGTATCGCCCTCTTTACTATAAAATTCCGATGTCGAGGGCCGAGACTTACGCCAAATTCGTACTGCATAAAATGGACTAGTGACTAGTATAATGTCATTCGTTTAATTATTGTACGATATAACGAATGAAATATCTAATTAATCTTAATATAATGTTTTACTATATCGCCCAGTAAATTGTTTTTTGCCCCAAAATATAAATTATTACTAATGGCCCTCTCAACATGGAAAAACGCCCACATGGGGTCAATATAGTCACGGTTGAGAAACACTGTTTTAGACCCAAATATTGTTTAGTAGAAATGAAGCATTTGACTTCTCCAATGAAATTATTTTTACTAAGAAGAGCAACAAGATTTTTAATTCTCGTTCAAGATCTTTTGGAATTACTGCAGGATTCTCGACAACTTTGAAAAAAATATACATGTTGTAAAGAAAAGTAAAGTATTTCTCCATATATATGTTTCCCAATGTAACTAGTAAGTTTTCTCCATATAACAACTTTTCTTTTTTTAAATTATGTTTTTCTCTCATTTTTCCCATATATCTTTTTATTATAAGACGAAAGATTTGAATGAACAAATCTGTTTTTCTTTGTATTTTGTGAAAGTATTTCGTTTGTGGTAAACATCATAACATATACAACATTAAGCTTTCTGCCTTAAAATATTTTTGTGGTTTTATTTAATCTTGACAGGCACAAATCTGTACGTTTAGGTGCACAGGCACGTTTACTCGAGTATACCTGCTAAGTATTCGAGTACATGGGTATGGGCTTTGCACAAAGTATGAATGATGTCCATTTTTATTTTCAAGAACACGCCCAAGAACCTTCTATGCTTTCGTGGATCCTTGTATAACCACTGCTATAGATTTTTCCTCCTGTCATTCTGTTATTACGATAAAAAATTGGTAAGTAAATGTACGTATTATATGTGACCTGCACTTATAGGCCCACAGTTTACTACTTTGTACACTCACTTAATGTAAACTAGAAATATCTGCGCCAGCCTCAGACCTTATGATACCAAACTTTATATAGACACAAAATCACACTTAATAAGGTTTCGGCTCTCACCACTGGAGAGATGAAACATTATTATTATGGAATGGCTGGAACAGGGTTTGAATCTGGCAAATAAGGATCACCGGTTCACTTTATTAAATTAACTAATGTCAGATAATTAATATTCTAAAAAAATGAAATTGGATTTAGGGGCGTTAAAATATAACGAACAGAAATGTATTCGTATGATCAATAAAATTTGAGACGCTTGTACCCATTTTGGCACCCGCGCCTCGCTCACTCTAAAATAATTCGTCACAACAACAAAGCAGAAAAATATACATATACTGATTATTAATATTAAATTAATATTAACATTAAATTAAGAAACGTTATTTCGTAAGGTTTTAACGTTTACTTTTCAGATATAAAAAAAAAAACCATGGCGCTAATTTCATTTGAGTGTTGCCAGATAGACTAACCAGTCTGGCAACACTTAAACGAATACGGCGGCATGTTCGTTTCTGTGTTTACGTTTGAAGTGGTGTAAGCATCGTCATGAGCGAAGAAACGGAAGAAGAGAAACGTCCGCAATTATCTCATCAAGAAGCCTTAAGTATGGTAGAAAAGGGAATTTCTCGCATAATAGCGACGGATCCTTTGTTGGCCGATCTTCCGGACGGAGTGACGTTGGAAGAGTTAAATTCGCTCTTGGCCTTGGAACAAGGACGGGCCATGACTTTGTTTGTGAAAAGAGCAGACGGACTCGTCTACGATATAATTATTGAACAGAAAGCAAATGTTTTAGACTTGAAGAAAGCCATTCGGAGATACGTGACTACTAAATTGGTAAGTTTACTTATATTCTCGTGCAAGTAATATATTAAATAGTTAAAGGTTAAATATATTAAGGCCTAAAGGTTAAATTTTTAATAATTAATTAAAGGATGATAATTAGCGAACAAATGAAATTTCGGTAAATTTCTATACAAAATAATAGCACGCACAAAGATTCAACATGTGCTTGTTTATGAATGGGATAATATAGCTGTCAAAAAGAAGTACATGATACCCTCTAGTGGCGACAGTCAGAATTAAACTTTTAAAGCATTATGTTGTTTTTTAATTTCTCTTTCTCCTGAAAGTATTAAGAAAGAACTTGGTATTATTATAAAAGCAGTATAACGCTTCTATAGTTCTATCGGATCTTCTAATCTAACCCATCATGGATATGGTCGGGCCCACCTTGGATAGAATGGCCAACAAATCTGGGATAGATTGCTCCCAAAACATATTAATTATGTTTGTTTTGATTTATAAAGGTTCTAATAAATATATTAAAATTGATACTTATTTTCCTTGCTTTATTCGACAGGAACGAGAAGGAAAGAAGCGCACGATTAGCTGGAGATACGTGTGGAGGACTTACTGGTTATATTTCGAAGGACAGAAATTGATGAATGATCATTATTTATTGAAAGATTACGGAATTGGCAATAATTCAGAAATTACTTTTATTAAACGACTCAGAGTTAAATGAATCTTTCGATTCTGGTTAATTGTTTTGATTGATTTTTTCATATAATGTATCTCACCACAGGTTTTAATTGCTGAAAATATGTAATATTCAGATCAGTTAATGACCTTTGTCTTAGCAGAGATTTGTCATATTTTTTTGTACATATTAAAGTATGGCAGTATTGTCACAGAAGTTACATTGATTTATATGTTAAAAATACATTAAAAAATACATTATCAGAATCAAATGTTGATAGATCAGAATGGAATTACTGCATTTCAGAATATCATACTGACTTAGTTAATGCATAGGGTTGATTAGGCAGAGGATCCCTAGCTATTGTTTACATCCATCTTGACGGTTTGGTGTTATTTCCATTACATTTAGCATTGTATAGCTTATATGTCTTATCATATGTTATATAAAGTTACAGTAGACAGTCATGTTATTAAACTACTTCATCCTAGTAATATGTTATATTGAGGATCAACTCTACTTAAAAGTATTCATTTTATTGTTTTATAATTTTAAATAATTTTTCAAGGATGATTATCCAGTGACGGAAGTTGCTACAGAAGGTCATGAGTGTAAGTAATTACTTTTGCTATTTTTTCTAATCATATTAAAATTATGTATATTATTTTAATTTTATTGCTATTCATGTTATGTAGTATGAGAGAAATGTCAAGTTATATTTCATTAATTAAGTATAACTTATTTAAACATTATATAAGTATTTAAATAAGTAGTTGTTTTTTATCAGAATAATTGCATTTTCTCTTTATGTAAGAGCCTATTCAATATGTTGTAGCAATATATAAACTAAATAATACAAATCTTCAAAGTTTTGTATTATTGAAATGATTAGTAATTAAATTTGAAGTAACTAGTTAAGAATTTATTAATAATAAACTGCTTAATAATAAATAAATTCTTAACTAGTTATTTCAAATATACACTAAGATTCTGCTTAACGTGGGAGGTGTGTGAAATTCGAAGTGTATATAATTTCATATAAGAAAGTAACCCTTTAAAATTTTAATAAATTTAAATAAAAATTTCTTTAAGTAAAGGAGTTTGGACCTACAAAAACGAAATATAAAGGGCATGAGAAATTTATAACTCTTTCGGTTTCACTATAAACATTCTCATGATCAAACCGTGCATAGTTTGCACTTACATGCGAAATTCGTCATATTGTTGTCATTCTAACACCAACTTTAACCTCACACCTGCTAAAACAATTCATCACCTGACTAATTTTCCCACTGAAAAAGGTATAAAAACCCGACACCTTCCCCTCATCGGGGGAATCGCCGAACATCGAAGTCAGACATCGCCTTCTCCATCGCAGCCCTACACTCCCATAGCAGACCTACACTTTTGTCGCCGACCTATACTTGTGTCACCGATCACAATCCATAAAGGACGACATTACGGGAAAATATCCCACTAGTATATGCAAAGAGGTATGAACGCTTATTATTGTAAACTCTCTCTCTCATCTGCAAAGTCTATGAAGTTTTGTAAAATTTTTATTTAGTTAGCTAGTAAAATAAACCGTTGTTTTGTTTTAAATGGTGTCGTTACTTGACTTTGCCAATGTCTTATCGTCGACCCCTCCGACTCTCCTCCACTCATGTAACGCGTAACCGAACGTTACTATCATCCCTGCCAAGAAAGTAGATCACCGACCTGTGGCCAGAAGGAGCGGACTCCTCTTACCTCCCGGTGGCTCACAAATTGGTGTCACGGGAGTGGGGTTTGAATCTAAAAATCCCTAGAAACATCACAGATGCATTCCTAGACAACAAAGCGCTTAACAAAACAGCATTAAATGAGGTCATTTTAACAAATAAAGAAAGGGGAACACGCAACCAAACATTCTTTAATTTTAAGTTATTTTTATATTAATTTGCCCAACAACATATGTTAAATAACACCTAAACATATGCACACAGAAATGTAGAGTTCATTTTTTGTGACGAATGTCCTGGCTCTTCTGAACTTCTTGTTTTTTGTGATAAAGTCATGTAGTTTCATTTGTTGCTTTCTTTTTCTTTCTTTAATCAAATGTCGGTAGCAAGAGATTGCATCCAAAACGCCTCGTTTTTCTTTTGCACTCATTTCAAAATCTGGATCATTTGCTACAATTTGATCAATTTTGGTTATTTTTAACCAAAATTTTTACTAAGGAAGCCTGTAGAGAAATTTTATGGGTTCTTCGTTTTCAGAATCTCTATTTTCCAGTTTTACATGAATTCCTTGTTCTGCCAGTTCTTGAAATCATTGTTGGTAAGGATATAACTGATCAGAAACCTGCAGTAACTCCTTAATATCCTGCTCATCTACATCACCTAGTCCTGCTGTATTGATTAGGTTGACAATTTGGTCGACCTAATGATACAGCGATAGACTCTTCTCGTTGAGCATTCTTGGATAACTTTAGCCATAACATCTTCCACACTACGTTCATGCATTTATCAGTTAATTCTTGTCAAGCAAAGTCGATATTGCCTATGGCGTTCATGATGATACATTTTTTCCAAAATTGCACCAAACAAATATAGATTTAAGGAAAGTACAGCGCTGCGACGAATTGCCACCTTTTACTGATTGATTCATGTTTGGGAATAATCAATGAAATGCCGCGATAATCTGAATCAGCGTAAATTTTTAGCTTTTTTTGGCTTTGAGCAGACTGTGTTATATCAAATCAGCATTAAGTGGGGTTTTACTGTATATAGGGTTTGTATGCACTTGGAAAGTTGGGAAAAATCAGAGATTTTCATTAGTTTTTCAGAGAAAAGATGTGGAACATCAGGAAATTTGTGAAAAAAATTAAGGAATTTGCCTACTTGGCTGCATTGTTTTTTTTTGCTGACAGCATGCTTGACTAAGTGTATACTTGTCTGCAGCAGCAAGAAATAATGTGGTGCAATACAACTTAAGATAGGATGTGTAAAATATCTTCAGGGCCCAAAATTTCAATGCAGAAATGAATTAATATGTCTAAATCTAAATGATGTATACAAAAGCAGCTGGTTGAATAGTTATTTAATTGTATTTTATTATTATATTTCAAACATCAGCATACAGTTTAGAATGTCAATACATTTTCTTACAATGTTTATTTACCAAATACTAGATTACAGTTTTAAACATTGAAATGCAATATCAACTCACAGTTATTGTAATGATAATATATAACTCACTTTTGCAAAAGATGTTTTACATAAGTCTATGATGAAGTTGGATCTTATGCAGACTTATGTTTTCTGTTGAAACAATTTAGGCAAAGTGCTGTCTGCCAAGGACAGTATGTATGGACAAAATGTAGTCACATGCTTTGTGGTATTATCTGCCCTTCTGCTATTAGCATTTATTGTGTGTCTGCATAGCAGCCTTGGCAACGGCAATGTACTTTCAATGTGTGGGGCATTCTTTCTTCTGCAGGGTGGAGTTTACCATTGCAAGATCATTTTCAACATTAACTTACATATGTAGGAGTTACAACAAGGAGCCTGAATGTAAGCATCAAGGAACACAAGCACATGATCTGTATCTGTATGAATATAATGCAGTAGAAACAGTAAAACGTTTAGTAATGTATATGGAGAAGGTGCTCCTAAACTTCAAATGTTTCAAGGCCTTCTTAATGTGGAGGGCGAGGGGGGAGAAATTTAAAAAACTCAATGAACGATAATATGTGATATATATCGTCATTGTCTTCCTTGCCGTTTGGATTGCCGATCGGTAACAATCAATGACATGTGGAAGCAGTTGAGTCAGAGATAGATGCTTCGTTTACAAACAACACAATCATTTATTAAACACGAAAGAAGCTTACAAGGTTTCCGCGATCTTTTGAAGTTCTGCGGCGGTTGTGGCCTCTGGGTCTTCCTCTCCTTTCCAAGATAGTCCCATTTTGAAGGAGTGTCCCTTGTTCGCGAATGAACCATTCCGTCACGTCTTGACGACTCTGGGACGATGCGGTCGACTTCCGTTGATGGAAAGATGTCGATCCGAGGTCGGGAGATGGAGACGAAGATGGGTGCGAGACACACACACAACAACAGATCCGTCACTTGAAACTTTCGGGAGAAGAAGCTGTCGCGTCCCTGAATTTCTGGAGTTTTATCTGTTTTCTCTCAGATTCTCCTTTCCGATTGGTCTCTCCTTGTCACCTGATGACAATTCGAAACCTTTCGGGGGCGCGGGAGAGGTAAAAATCAAAGTTTAATTCGATCTCCAACCGGAAATGGTTGACGGACTTACATTCTTCTATTGTTTAAAAGTTAGCATCGCATTTTCATAAAATAAAAATCTATTTCTAACTACTATATATTTTTTCTCTAAAACAATTATTTTAACGCGAATTTTAGTGAGGGTTCGGACCTGTCCAGAGCCTCACATTAACAGCATTACAGGCCTGGGCAAAGCAGTGCTATGGATCTCTACCTACATAAGCACCCACAGGAATGAAAATATAAATATTGATTAGATTAAATATATATTTACTGGTGTTTTCAACAAAGTCTGTGTTTAAATATTAAAAAATATGCTGTACAGCAAAGATTAGGCAAAACAAACATATGAACAATATAACATAAGCCTTGAAAAACAAAAGTTTCAACACATACAACTTAATGATACTTGTATTTCAACATATTGATAATTGGAAAACACAAAAATTTTAAATTAAATGAATTAAAATTATTCATTTAATTTGAAATTTTTGTGTTTTTTAAGGTTTATGGGAAACCATACAGTGGTGACATGGCATGAAAATGTTTTTGTAATAAAATCTCAAAACAGATGGAATAAGTGGTGAAACTAGGAAAGTATCACCACACATTGCTAGATATTTTTATAAACAGGAATACAAAATGATCAAATTGATGTAATGGTGTGTTCTTGTGTGAGAAACAAACACACACAGTTTATGCAATCATAAAAGTTTGAATGACTATTAATTACACGCAAAAAGAAGGTTTTGATTAATGTATTGTTTACTGTTAGTAAGAGTTAGTAAGAGTTTAATGAAAAAAATCTCTTAAATGAAATCTAATCGTAAAGGTTCTATGTTAGAAAGTTTGAGAAAAAAAAAATAATAATGAAATATAACAAAACCAAGGATATAGTTTGTGGCAGAATGTTAAGCCTAGACATTAAAAATATGTCTATACATAAAATACATAAATATCTATACATAAAAGCTTTATAATTGATACATTAACTAATTTAAACTGTGATAATTTGGTAATTGAACTGGTTCAATTTGTTCTAAATAATAATTATTTTACTTGTAATAAAAAAACTTTTAGACAATATAACAGTATCTCTATAAGTTCATGCATAGGCCCTGAACTAGCAGAATTATGTATGATAAAAATAGATCATATTAGAAAGCTCAGAGGCATAATAGAATACAATAGATATGACTGCTTTATAATTTATGACACTACTTTAACCCTCAAACTATCCTTAACAGTGCCAATAATATAGAAACCAACATAACTTTTGATATAGAACATGAATGTAATAAAAATTTACCATTTTTAGACGTCACTGTCCAAAGGTCTCATAACAGCTTAAGTTTTAAAAAATATACTAAACCATGTTATGTAAGGAAAGTTGTTAACTATCATTCCAGCACACCTGTGTATATATCAAGAAAAGTATTTTTAACATGTATATCACCAAAATTAAAACACACACGAGCAATTACCTTGAACAAACTAAAGAAATTGCTCTACGTATATAAAATACTCGAAAACTGGCTTGCCAGCATCAACCCTACCATAACCCAAAAAAATATAATACCAACTCAAATGAGTTATAATTTTTTAATTTTCAAAAAAATTAAAAAACTATTAAAACCACATAACATAACTCTAGCCATTGTATTTACTAATATCAAAAAATTACTAATAACTAAAGAAAATATTATTCAAAATATTGATATAATGCAACAAAATAACGTTATATATAGAATATCCTGCAGCTGCCAACTGAATTACCAATACATAGGCAAAACTGGAAGAACCCTAAAAATCAGACTAAAAGAACATTCACGTGCTATTAAATTTAATTACACTAATTCTGCCGTAGCCATACATTGCAATAGCGAAGGTTGCGAGATCTCGCTTAATAATCTAAAAATACTCAGAATACAAAAAAATATAAAAAGGAAATTATATGAACTTCTTGAAATGACAAAAATAAAAACTAATGAACGTAAACGATGGTCTAACCATTGGTGACAGCTGAAACCCCTCCTCCCTAACAGGTAGTATCCATATGTTACTTCAACCTGCTTCACCTCCCCAGATGGCCCCCATTTGGTGAAGCTACCCTGCCCTCCCATATAGATACAACTGCACTCTGCAAAATGCAACTGCATACTCAAAGATGACCTAAACATGTATCAACCCTAGTAAACTGATTACTAAGTCAATTACCCAACATACTCTATAAAGTCAATTGTAACCAACTATCAACCATTAATAATCTACTAAATATACGATATTAGTTAAATATAGTATAAGTTATCTTTTAAAAATTTTGTTAAAATATTATATGTATTATTCTGTATAATGTAACTTGTATCTATCCCATTTTTTTTATTTTTTGTAAAGTCTTTATCTAAATTAATATACTTCTTGAATCAAAGACATGCTCAGTGTCCAGGTGGTGCAACTGACAAACGCACTTCACAGCAAGTGTAGGTTGTGAGTTCCAGCCCCACCCATGGGTCAGTTCTTTTATTCCAGAAGGTACTAAATTATTTATTAATTTAGTTAAGAGATGGTGCCTAACTCGTCTCTCTAGTGAGAAATTACTGTAATCATTTAATTAGCCAAATTATAGCCCGACCTTTCAGGCAATCGTTGGTAATTTATTAGATTAAGCATTGAAAATATTTCTCTTTTTGTTTTTCTTCTTTGTATTCAGCTCAGATACATTATTGTTTCAAAATNTTTTTGATAAATGAATTGTAATTTACATTTGAGCTTATATTACACCAAGAATTGACTAGTTAAGAATTTCAAGTTTTTGTTTTTTTCATTATTATTAATAAATTTTTAATAAATGAATTGTAATTTACATTTGAGCTTATATCACACCAAGAACTGACTAGTTAAGAATTTCAAGTTTTTGTTTTTTTCATTATTATAAAGGTAATTCTAGTACATTATTTTTATTGTACAAAATATTGAGTTGATATACAAAACATTGATTCAGAAAACATTATTATACCACATTTTGAATATCACAAAGATTATATTAAAAATACAAGTATAGTTTATGCCAGATTGCTTCTTTTTTGTTTGGTATTTACTGTTCATTTATCATCAGGTGATAGCTTGATATTATCTTTCAGACTCAAATATTGTTTAGTAGAAATCAAGTATTTGACTTCTCCAATTAAATCATCCTTGCTAAGGAGAGCAACAAGATTTTTACTTGTTTTATGCAATTTTAGTTCAAGATCTTTTGGAATTACTGCAGGAATTTCAACATTTTTGAAAAAATTATACATGCTGTAATGAAGAATAGGATTAATAAATCTAAGGGCACCACTAAACAAAATTTTAAATTTATCCCATTTGAAACTATTTATTAAATTTTGAATGAGATCTACGGATTGACAAATATCATAAATCTTTTCTGGAAAAGTTTCATTTTTAAAGCTATCCCCTTCTTCCAGTAATCTAAAACTGTTATCCAAAAATAGAAATATCTCCAATTTATCAGATTCTTTGTAAACGTTGTGTAAGTCTATTAGTTTTTTTTTAGTTTCTTCATACAAATGTTTTGCATTGGGAAAATGAAAATAAATTCGAGAAAGTCGAAAGAAAGGTAGATGTAATATAATTGTCATCATTTTTAAACAGGTAAAATCAAAATATACTTTGGCATTTGAACAAAATAGTTGTTTGTTCGTTATGTTTTTAATTTCATTAACACAGTCAAGCCAAACTGTAGAATAATAAACATTCTGTTGAATATCATATATGAAATGATTTGAAAATTCTTCATCTCCGCAAAGACCACTGAGAAATCTTACAATTATAAAATCTTTCGCACAATCTAGAGGGATATGTTTTGAATGGTAATAACAAAGAGCAAATATAAAGTCGAGAAAGCTTCTATGTATAAAATTGAAACAACTAACTCCATCTACCTCAAAATACTTTGCAAAAATGTCTAGTCCTAATATAAATTGATAGTCTTTTTTTTCTGGAAACTTTTTCTTTAACTGTTTATCTGCTAATGTTAGCAACTTGTAAATCTCGTACATGCATATGGGCTTATCTATTTTACTCATTTTGGATCTTTTGTCCAAATATATTTCTCCCAATTTAACCAGTAAGTCTTCTCCATAGAAAAACTTTCCTTTTTTTAAATTATGTTTGTCTCCCATTTTTCTCATATATCTTTTTATCACCAGACGAAAGATTTGAATGAACAAATCTGTCTTTGTTTGTATTTTGTAAAAGTATTTTGTTTCTGGTAGACAGCATAACATATGCAACATTAATGGACATTCAGCTAAGGCGGAATGAAAATAGCTGAATTTTATCAAGTTTAAAAGTTCATCCCGCCTGCCATCATCATCATCAATAACTAATTTAATATACTTTTCTTTTTGTTCTTGTGAAAATCCTTGAATAATGAATCTCATATTTATGTATTCTCTTATATTTTCGGCAGCATGAAGACGGCAAGTAACAAGAATTGTTATTTCTTTAGAAATATGAAATGAGTCTTTTTTAATGAACTGTATAATTGAATCTTTATCACCTGTTTCATCAAATCCATCTAGAATGATTAATAAATTAAATCCTCTTTGTCTTAACTTATCTCTAGAATTGGTATCTGTATTTTCACAGATACATTGGAGAATTTCATCTGTTATACTTTTCTTCTCTAATTCTCGCAAAATAATGACGACAGTAAAATCATAATATCCTAAATAATTGGTACGGGATGTATCGGTGCCCCAATCGTAAGCTATTTTCTTACAAAATGTAGTTTTGCCATAACCAGGATCACCAGTGACTAACATTACAACATGTCTGTCAATTGATTTTGGAAAAATCTGTGTAAACTGAATAGTTTCTCCTTCTTTTTTCCCTAATAAATCTGCTTCCTGAACTGTAAGTTGGACAAAGTAGTCTTTTAAGGGAAAGTCTTTACTTCTTTCACTCCACAATAAAGATTTCATGTAAGCATTTTTAGTCTTGTAATAATTCATTAAATATTCTCTTTGTATCTGAAAAGATTCTGAAAAATATTATACATATCAACTTAATATTTCTATAGTTTTTATTATACAGTGGTGCCTTAAATAACGGACTATCAGTTTGGCAGTTACGTGAGATGAACAACAAACTTTCTGCGAACAACGGCAAAAGAGTGGTGATATTTCCACTTTTTTGCCATTGCCAATGACAATCTGCTATTTTTAAGATATATTAGTATTATTAGAATATATTATTAGTATATCTGAGGTACACAGCTCCCGTTGAGATTCAGCTTGCTCCCTTCTTTATTACGTACTTTACCTCAGTGCAGGGTATTTACATTTATTCAAGTGTTGTGCAAATCATGGCTTGTAGAAGAACAGAAAGGTGATTTCAATTGAAACAAAGCAAGAAATCATCAGAAGGAGTGAATGTTGACAAAAAACTTCCTTGTCAAATGGGGAAAGGTTAAGGGGTTTACCAACATTCATTATCCAAACAGAGCTGAGGCCAACAAAATCAATGATCTCTACAATGACACCCTTGCCTGTCATTTCCAACAGGTGTTGAAGAAAAGAGAGAAACAGACCACCTTGGACATGTTTTTCAAGAAGCCAGCTGCCAAAAAACAAAGGATGGAACAAGAGGAGTTGACCCTGCAAGCTCCAGTAGCCTCTCCTGAATCTGGCTTTGATTAAAAAACAATAAAAAGGGACTTGCTACAATGTGTATAAAGTGTATTTGTATGAATGTGTGAAGAAAGTGTTCCTCCACGTTATCCTCACAACATCTGACTACCCGGCATAATTGGTGACTGCTCCATTTTCATTTTTTTATGGTACAGTACGGTTATTTTCTGCTGTGGAATGAATTATATGTTTTAACATGTATTTCTATGGGAAAATGCGTATTGTATAACGGACTTTTCACTTAACGGACATGCACCTAGAACGGATTAAGTACGTTATTCGAGGCACCACTGTACTTGAAAAATTTAAGATTACTAATTTAAACACCACCTGTGTAAATTTTAAATACACCCAAAAGTTTATCATTTTTTATAACAAGTGTAAAGTATTTTAAATATAGGGTCAAGCCTGAACTATACTTTCAACCAGCATCATTGATAATAGTGATGAATTGTTGTTCCCTATACTTCCTATTCTGATTGTCATTACTGTGGAACAAGTGTTCTCATATAGGATTCAGTTGTGACTTGTCATTGATCTACAATAGGGGTATTTGAGCTTGCACACAAATGCAGCATGATTTATCTGCATATTAGGAGGGATGACAGAGTAAAAAGAGCAGAAATTATTATAAAATGTAAAGAAAGTAATGTCTGGAATAATTTTTGCATAGCTAATAGTAAATGGCATTCAGCAGAGATGACAACTATACTATAACAATTAACACTTGCATAGATATTGTTTAATCAATTAATACAGTAATGTTTTCTCAACCTATTTCATAAGCCGTACATCTTCATGTATGACTCTAGAATATAAACTGTTACAAAATGGAAGATTTGAACAATAGAAATTTTCAAATGTATACACTTAACGTTATACAATATTTTGAAATTACAAACTTTAAAAATTTGTTAAATAAATTTAATTAGTAAAATAAGAATTAGCACAATGCAATTTGCAGTGTTCTCTGGAAAGCATTTATGGGTAACTGGCTTTTTTAAGATTCAGTTGTGTGAAGAAAACAGAAAAAACCTTACCTAAGGCTTATTTCTGATACTATTTTGTGCATTTGATTAGCGTTTTTTAACTTTAATAACCATTACTTCTACACATATTCATTTATATATTTTTTTGTAATTTTATAGAATAAATACATTATTTTATCATCATCAGTCTTACACATGTGGAAAATACAACTTTATTTTAGTTTAAGAATCGTATTGCCAATATACATTTATGTTTCAATGTTATTTAATTTCAGAATTAAATGTTAAGTGCAGGCAACATTAAAGTATAAACTGCAAGAATAAACAATCAACAAAATGCGACATTATTTTTTAAATTTCACTTTTATATTCGTTGCTAAATAATGTAATGCTTCTGAAAGGGGTCTGATGCAAAAATAACTACCTACTAGACCACAGGTGGCAAACCTATGGCACGCATGCCCAAGGTGGCACATCGAAGAAATCATCTGGCACGTAACGTATTATATGATTTTGGTTTATCATCTTTTTCAATCAGGTTCTTTATATTCACTCTAATTACAGCATATTATTTTACTCATATTTATTTAAATATAGTTTTTTAAAATCCATTTTGCCCTGTGGGCACTAAGGGTGCGACTATGCAGACGCAAATTTAGGGCGAGCAAGAGGTTGCAAGCGATTTAGTTTTTGCAAAGGAAAACCATGCACAAATGAGAAGCAAGAAATAATGCTAGCGAAAGCAAATTTCTGGTTCTCGCACATATCTCACAGGTTTTGATATTTATCGTGTCTCGTCTCTTCTCACCACATATTCTCACTCACTCTGAAAATTCGCTTGCTCGCGTCTGCATAGTTGCACCCTAAGAGGGGTGTTTATTTTGCAAACTCACAATGGGACAGCCAGTTGTTGAAGAATGGAATCGCCTCCTCAAAATTTTCTGGGGTTTTGATCTTGGGTCTACAAGAGCTACCACTTTGACTGCTTGGCTATTAGGCCAAATTTAAATATAGTTACTTGAAGTCTAAAACTTCTGCACGCATAAACATTTAAAAAAAAAAAGTATGCTTAATGTGCTTACTATGTGGCACACAGACTCAAAATGCCTCGCCATCCCTGTACTAGACAAACTATACAGTGAATTCTAATGCTTATATTAGTGCTCTAACAATAAAAGTCAGGTGATAAATATACCATGTTTTATATAAAGGACTTTTTTAAACAAAAATTACTATCTAATTCAGACAAATTTTACTTATTTATCATCATTTATAAATTTACATTATAAACTTATTATTATTATTAATTCACTTCACATACTTAATTGTAAAAAAGATATTTCAGCTTATATTATTTGCAATTACCTGAATCATTTATATCAGTTGAACTGGATGGTTGATGTATATTAATATCTCCCACATGGACGTTTTTTGACTCTTTTATTATAATACCTGATAATAGTGATAAAATATATTATAAAATATTGTTTTTATTTTTTTGTAAAGATTTAATGTATATATTAAAAATAATTACGGTCTGCTATTCTTCCTGTTGCTGTATCTGAGCTATCTAATGTCAAACTTTCCAATGCCTGTAATGTTTCAATAAATAAGACTTAATATGTTAATTAAAATGTTATAGAATTAATTTTAATATCTATTATAAGGTCAATAAGACAAATATGTATGCTATAAAACATAATCGTTAACTTAAAATTGTGTACTTGTAGTTAAAGTCAAGAGAATCTTAAGGTGTTACGTCATTTTCATCACTAAAGAACTATCATAGCATTTAATTTAATTTAAAATCAGTCAAAATAAAACCATTTGTTGTTTGTTTTTCCTTATAATTTTGTGAGAAGGTAGTCCTATATAGAATGTTAAACATTTCTTATAGGGTTTAACATCTGAGATGTTTATTGCTAAATTCTGTGGTTATACTGAAATTCTTATTGTTGCACGATTGAATGATGTCCATGGTTGATGGCATAATTAAAATGTCCATAATGTATAACCTTTATAATTGTTGTTGTGACTGGTATACATAGAGAATACATAAAGGACTATTCTATGTCTCAAATAATATTAACTTTATTAATAAAAAAAGTTTACCTTTTCTATACTTTCCTCCATATTTCAGTACAAAGACAGATTTGATCTTAAAAGTAAATTAGTTTAACAGATCTGCTTTCTTATCCAAATAAACTGATATTTTCCTGTATAAAATGTAAATTTATGCATGTTATTCAAAAGAAATCATCTCTTGAAATGAATTACAATAATTAAATGAATAAAAAGATAATACAGATTTAATTAATGGAGATTATATATGAAAAAGATTTTATATTTCAGATGGAAGAAAACCTTTAAACTTTTAAACTTTTTCAAATTAAATTAATATTTCAATTTTGTTTTATTGAAATCACTTAAAACTAATGAATTATTTTGTTGTTTTCAAGTACTTAAAACAAATAAAAATAAATTAAATGAAAGTGTAATGAATAAATGTGTCATTGAAAAATACACAAAAATAACTGCTAAATTTTAGAAAAATGCATAAAATATACCATTGATATTTCTAATGTGTATGTCTTATCTATATTTGTTTTACTCTCTATTTCTAATTTTGTACATTTTATTTTAATTATATGATTATACTTATCATTCCCTCTTTTTGTTTCACTAGAAACAAAACAAAGAGGGAATGATAAGTATAAGCATATAAGCATAGCATAAAAACATTGATTAATATTTAAATATTATATAAATATCCATTCAATTTCTTTCCAGTGTAGCAAAGCTTGGTATTTACAATTGCCTTTATTAAAATATTATTTCTTTTTTAAGATTTACTGGGTAAATGCTAATGTTATTATAACTACTAATTTATTAAGACAGAAATTTAATATAATATTATTTCAGTTTATCTTCTCTTATTTTATTTGATTTTAAAAATAGATCTAGAATTGCACAATTTTATTAAATATATTCTCGTTTGAACACTAGGGCTTATGTAATTCATCAATTAAACCTTCGGTAGTGATTTTAAACCATTATGAGACATATTATGCTTAATACAAACTTAAATATGTAGCTTTTATTTAATTTTGTTTTAAATTAATGTAATAATCTTATAGTTCTTTCAGCTCTTTCAAGCATTACATTTATTTCAACAGGTTTATTTACTAATTGTGATAGTAATGCATTATGCTCTACACATGAAACTTATAACCCTTCATTTAAGTTTTCTACAGTATATCTGTGTCTTGTTTTTAGTGTGGATTCAATTAAAGTTGATTCAGCATCAAGTCGTGAAAATGATGAATCAATAGTTGAAGATATGGTTATATTATGAATAGCATTTTCAATAACTTTGAAGTCTTTTCTAGGCTATTCTTTTGCAGGGAGATTGTATGTCTGAATACCTGGCTTACAAAATGCTGAAAGACTTTCATATACTGCATAATCTAGTGATCTGTTTTGATTAGCTAAACTAGGGCTACTGTAGGGCTTTCTATCTGTTCTCCTCCATTTATTACGATACTATTTATGTAACTTCATCTAAATTTTAAAATAAAGGACTTCTAAACCAGATGAATTTGAAGATCCCAATCAAAACTATTATCATCTAAATATCCTTTTTTGACTTCATTAATTGTTAGTCTTTCAGAACATGATGAAACAAATTTTCTATTAAATCTGATCAGTTAAATTGTGATGCTTCATAGGTATTTGCTAAACACACCAATAAAGCAAAATGTAAAAAAAGTACAGGTATACCTCGACTTACGTCGTTTCGAGTTACGTCGTTCCCGATTATACGTCGTTTGTCAAAAAAGTATATGGAAAAATAAAAATCAAGTTTAAGTCATTTTATTCGACTTTACATCTGTCCATCACAAATATTGAAGTCGTAATATCACTAGAAAAATGTTTAAAGTACATAAAATCATATTAAAATATATACATTTACAAGTATGTACTGTATTTACAGTACAGTACATGCATTCGTAAATTTAGATTACTTTTTTCTGTACTATATTAAAAACTAAAATTTATTTGTTTGTTAGCTTAAAATAGATCCTTATTAACCATACATTATTAAAAATGCATTAATAAATAAAATACAGAACCGGAATTGGCAATTTATGGTTTAGCCTAGTGACAAGTAGATTTGGAGACAAGTAAATTCGACTTAAGTCATTCTCCTGGAACCAATTACCGACGTAAGGCGAGGTATACCTGTACAAGGAAACTGTTAATATACACAAAGAGCACAGAACTCATTTGAATTTTCTCTTGCTTGATATCCAAATGAGAGATCCTAGGATGCCAAACAGAAAGAACTTTTTGCTTCTATAAATACATGAATATTTAGAAATGCAAATATATGGTTAACAGAGAGTTCTAAATTCTATAGCGAAATTACTAAATCCTTAACAACAGGGTAGTTAGTATATAAAGCTTCTGATTTAATTGCACTTTAATTATACTTTCTTTCTCCATCTTATCTACTTTAGCCAGAGTACAGTAATTGAATTATTGATAAATTGTTGAAGTTATCAGAGAGACAGGAAAAATATAAACAAGCTTATAAATGCATATTAAAAACTATTAAAGCAGGTACTATATCTGAATATGAAGTTTATGACCAAGTTGAGTGGTTACAAATTTGTAGAGAAAGAGAGGAAAATGTGTTATTGACGATGAAATCCACAAGTTACCATTTGAAATGCATTTACCAGGCCATAATTTTACAGGACCTGCAACTCTGTACTTATCGGTAATTAGATTAAAACCTGATTTTATCCCATAATGGTCTAAATCAATTAACAGAGCAGATGAAATAGCTTAGACACTATATTTTTAAAAAAATAAATATACGAAAACTAGAAATGAAGTTTGTAATAAAAATTTATTAAATGAATTAGATGCTATAGTTACTTCAACACTTGGAGAAAAGAATGCAGCAACCAGCCGCATGACTCCCAGCAATGGAATTTAAAATTGTGGTAGCTGATATTTTATTAGAAATATCTTTTTATATTATTAATTACCATATTTACTTGCGTATAAGACGAGGTTTTTATTCATTTTTCGCTGCTTCGAAAACCTAGCTCGGTCCTATACGCTCGAGCAAAGGACTCTCTGAGTTTTTGCAATGATTTTTGTGAAGCATTTATAGTTCATGCTGCTCTTATAGCAGGGTGCTATTGAGGTCAAAGTGAATGTTGTTTTCAAAGAGATGGTCGGAAAATAGCTGGTCCCACACGATCCCTTCTAGCTTCCCACCCAGTCGACCTTTAACTACCAAAATTTAATAGCACCAGTCCCCTTAATAAACCTCCCTGCAAAATTTCAGAAGTTTTTGCCAAAAGACAGGCGTTATTAAGCTTTAAGTTGATGAACAAACTCATGCTTCCCCCACACTAAAATCCATACATACAGAACCTCCCTGAATTGTTTTGCATTTCTCAACGTTTGAAGGCTGGAGTCCAAAAATGTAAAAATCTTGGTCAGATTTTTCTTCCATTTTCATAATTCCTCTCTGCAATATATTCGGACGAGCTAAAACATTGAAATCACCTGTGTGAAATGTAAATATGGATGCATCTGCAGCAATGTGTCACAGTCAGGATGCAGATAAGCTAAACCCGGGTCATAGCCATTACTTCGTTTTGCCTCAATATGGGGGGAAGAGAAAGGATTTATCAGAGTTCGACAAAGGGCAGATCATTATCGCAGGACGCTTAGATAGTAGCATGTCAAAAACAGCAACAAATTATCTATAATAAACAATCTAAATCTTAGAAAATACTTTTATAATTATCTTGTTCCAACTAGAGCCACTACAAACAATAGAATAAAATATGAAGTTAAAGAAAGAACAGCTAAGAATATCATAAATGCTAATTATGTTCATAAAGATTTAATAATAGTGTTTGTTACAATCTCTGTATGGCTATTCAGCAGCCTAAAAATGTGTGTATAGCACCATACGGTCGAGTATTTAAGATGGCAGCCTATCGCTTAAGGACGGGATGGATTCCTAACAGTTCGAATAAAGCGAAGGATTTTTCGGGGAGTACTTTGGATACGTCAACTGCATCTCTCGCCACTCGGTCGTCTTGTTTCTGGCCGAGCTGAATCCATAATGGACTTGATATAAATGGCCCTCTTAGTGCCCACAAAGTAGGAGGAACTTATAAAAAAACCCTAAAATGTTGACAGCTCTATACAATAGGATGACATACTGTTTGTATATATATTTGCAGTAGAAAATTCTTCTTATTAATGATTAGTATTGATAACTTACATTATAGAAATTATAATTACCTCTACTCTTCGTTTTTTTTGTTTTGGATGTGCTCCAATACTTGACTTAATTACAAAAAAGAAGATTTTATATTCTGGCTGCAATTATTAATAGAGGAAAACAGCAAAACCATCAAACAGAGAAAGCGAAACTGAAACTAACGACAGCGAAACTGTGTATTGTTGTGGATAATACATAACGTTGCTATGGTTACTGAGTATAATGTAAATTTTTACGTGTACGTAGACGTGTTACGTAGTCACCATCATTTCTCTTACCTGCAGTAAACACCACTTCGAGATACTTTTAACATTACTGGTTAATTTATTCCTTTATTTTGTCGGCTCATGAGGATGCTTCCTTGTTTTCTCTGTCAAGAATCGTAGAGTAAATCTTATTTCTCTTAACATACACAAAAAATCTTTATTTCTAAAATTTAAAAAGCTTGAAAATAACTCACTTTAATGCCACGTTTGACTAAATAGATAGACAGCAAGAGCCAGATTTGTGCTTGTCAACATTAAATAAAACATAAAAAAATGCTTTTAAAACGTAAAGCCTGCAGCATGTGATTAAACAGTGCTATCTCGTTATTCAAAAATATTTACTGGAATCGGTATTACTTTTTATTTACAAATGTACGTATTTAATAAACTAGTGTGTTTAAAAAAATATAAGCTAAATTAAGATCAGATTGTTCTTTTAAGCGCAATTGTTAAGAGTAAAGATAAAAAACACTGTATTTTAATTCATGTAAAAAATAAACCAACAACGAGTTGCTCAACTTTTCCGGCAACATTTAACATTTTGGTGGCTCTATCTGTTTCATATTTTATTTAAAAACTTTATATTTTTTACTATTATAAAACCGCAAAAAGCTTAATTTTGAGGGTAGTGATGAGTCTTATAAAAGAAAAAACATTAAATGCTAATAACGAGTAAAATCGTCATTAACTCCAACGCTACTGGAAATACAGGACTCCATTATCTTTCCATTCCGTCGACCTTTAACAACCAAAATTTAACATCACCAATTCCCCTAATAAACAATCCTCCCTGCAACATTTCAGAAATTTTCGACAAAAAGAACAGGAGTTATTAGAGAGGTTGCGGCCGACGTTTTCAACGCGAAAACGTATACGTTGGACGTTCAGCACTGCCTTACTGTAAGCCTAGAAGTTTGACAATAGCGTTTGGAACGTCAGTGGAATCATGTTCGCCATTGTCAAACTTTTAGGCTTAGGGGCCGTCCATAAATTACGTAAGGGCGATTTATTAGATAGTGCACGTGTAAACAGAAACTTCGACTAGCTAGTGCACGTGTAAACAGAAACGTCATACAAAATAAAACAAGAGAGAATAGAGAGAAACCACATTTCGTTGCCATGTTGATTACATCTTGGCTAAGGCCAACAAAAAAATAAACTACATGCTGGTAAAATGTGCTAGGTGCACCTGGGGACTAAATAAAGCTTATAAAATTCTATATAATGGGGTAATACAACCAATGTTACTTTACATGGCCTCTGTCTGTGATCATGTAACTAGTAAAAATTCAGTAGCAAGTAAATTACTCTCTCTTCAAAACCAGTTTGCCATCAGAATTTCAAAGTACTGCAGCTAATGCCTCTCTGATAATAGTAGAGCTATTTCCTTTGCTACTATGTATTGTAGAAAAAGTTCTAAACTACTACATCAGAACTAGAAACGTCAAGGCTCGATAACGGTCTCTACACCTATCTACGGTTGTTCGTACGCTACCACATTGCAATTACTCTACTATCTCTGATTATCATCCTGTAAACAAGGTTATTTGATGTCATCTGCTTTTTCCATGGACAATCTTGCAGACATCAATATCTACACAGATGGGTCCAAAAGTTCCCTTCTTGTCGGCTCAAGTATCTCTATCTTCCTCCAAATTTACATATTTTGCCAAAAATATGTTAGAAGGTGCAGATACCTCCATCTATCAAGCTGAAGAAGATGCTGACTACCAAGCTGTTCAGTGGACCACTTCACAACCAAACAAAACTCTGTCTATCAACATTTATAGTGATTTTGTCTGTCTTAAAAGCTCTATTAAATCCCAATTGCAATAGCAATAAAATCGCACATATCCAGCACCATATTAAAAATCTTGTACATAAGATAATTTTTATATTTGTTCTTGGCCATACTGGCATACTAGGAAATGAAAATGCCAACATTGACGCTAAGTTAGCTGCAAAGGAAACCGACTTGGACTACACTCGCATCTCTCTCTCACGTAACAGCCTTAAAAATTATATTCATGACAACGCTATGCGAAAGTGGAATCAGTAAAAGTAGTTGAGCAGTAAAACTGGTAGAATAACAAGACTTTATTTTCCCAGTGTTGAATGTAGGTTCTCATCACTAACTACTGAGCGTGGTAATTTTAAAAGCTACCTGGCGATGTATAACCGGGCAGAAATTGCTTCTTGCTTTTGCTCTACAGAAAACCTAGATACCGTCGACCACGTGATCTATCATTGTCCAATTTACAATCAACATACACTTATTCTGAAATTAGAAATCTTTACGCTTGGTTTCAAGTTGCCGTGTCCACTCGATAAGGTTTTTCAGAAGGCATTGTTTGATGCTTTTTACAATTATGTTCAAAAAACATGGAAGAAAAGACTATTTATAATTTCTAATTTCTAGTTTTACATTTTAGTTTTCACTAAAAGCCGAATACTAATTTTATGTTTACTTTGTATCATGTATTTTGGTTTATGTATTTTCTTAGTGTTAAACACGCATAGGAGTGGTGCACTTATTCTAATAAAAAACAAGAGAAAGAAACCTCCACACAGACTTTCTCCCATGACAAAAAATGTGTAGAGCGTGAATCTGCTAGCGTTATTACTCTATCACGTCACACGAGACAACGAGCGTTTAATTAATAGAAACCACCAAATTGAAGCCAAATTCAAAACGCCATCACTTAACGAGATCAAAAAATAAAAATAAGAATATTACGTAAGACGAGATCTATTACCCCCTTACCCATGAGTAAGAAATCGTAAGAAATCCTTTACCCCCGCCCACCCCAAAATACTTTACGTAATTTATGGACGGCCCCTTATAAGCATTTATATTTCTTAATAAAACTCATCCCTATCCACAAAATTAAGCTTTCTGCCCTTTTTATAATAGTCAAAATTATTTTTGTGGTTTTATTTAATGACAGGCACAAATCTGTACGTTTAGGTGCACGGGCACGTTTACTCGAAGTATACCTGCTAAGTATTTGGGTACGTGTGTACTCGGCTTTACACAAAGTATGAATAATATCCATTTTTATGTTCAAGAACACGCCCAAGAACCTTCTATGCTTTCGTGGATCCTTGATTATTAAAAACTGCTATAGATTTTTCCTCCTGTCATTCGGTTATTACACATATTAATACGATAAAAGATCGATAAATAAATGTACCTATTATATGTGACCTCCACCTATAGGCCCACAGTTTTCTGCTTTGTACACTCACTTATTGTAAACTAGAAATATCTGCGCCAGCCACAGACCTTATGATTCCAAACTTTATATAGACACAAGATCACACTTAATAAGGTTTCGGCTCTCACCGCTGGTGAGAGATGAAACATTGTTATTATGGAATTGCTGGAATAGGGTTTGAATCTGGTAAATAAGGATCACCGGCCCACTTTATTAACTAATGTCAGATAATTAATATTCCCAAAAAATGAAATTGGGTTTAGGGGCGTTAAAATATAACGAACAGAAATGTATTCGTATGATCAATAAAATTTGAGACGCTTGTGCCCATTTTGGCACCAGCGCCTCGCTCACTATGAAATAATTTGTCACAACAACAAAGCAAAAAAATATAAAATTAATATTAACATTAAATTAAAAAAACGTTACCTCGTAAGGATTTCGCTTTTACTTTTCAGATATATATATTTTAAAAAAAAAAAAACGGCGTTAATTTGAGATTTGCTGTTGCCAGATAGACTAAACCAGTCTGGCAACACTTAAACGGATACGGCGGCATGTTCGTTTCTGTGTTTACGTTTGAAGTGGTGTAAGCATCGTCATGAGCGAAGAAACGGAAGAGAAACGTCCACAATTATCTCATCAAGAAGCCTTAAGTATGGTAGAAAAGGGAATTTCTCGCATAATAGCGACGGATCCTTGGCACAATTCTAGGACAAATGTAGCAAATTGGGACTTTGACAGAGCAGTAGATTATATCGATAGGAACAAAAAAGTCAAAGGAACCATGCCCGTACGGGCGACCCTTCGCGAGATATAGGCCCCCAAAAATGCCGCCGCCGCTCTATACCGAGCGCGTTTCTATTTCCCTATCTCTAACACATTGTAACTGACGACGGAAAAGGCCAACAAAACAGATTATACACTCACCTTCGGCAGAGTCTCCTTTTCTCGCTACCCGACGACGACTGGCCCGTTTCCGATCTTGTTTAGGCGAGGCCGGGGTAAGACCGCCGGTCACCGCTGCCGCTTCCTCCTCCTCGGCTATGTCCAGGAGGTCGACGACGACGAAGATGGGATCGCCCGATGTTATTCGAACAATCGCATATAATCCAGGGTTCGGGTACAAGTATCCTTCGGTAATTAATTGGGAATAATTATGTTNTAAAAAATTGGTAAGTAAATGTACGTATTATATGTGACCTGCACTTATAGGCCCACAGTTTACTACTTTGTACACTCACTTAATGTAAACTAGAAATATCTGCGCCAGCCTCAGACCTTATGATACCAAACTTTATATAGACACAAAATCACACTTAATAAGGTTTCGGCTCTCACCACTGGAGAGATGAAACATTATTATTATGGAATGGCTGGAACAGGGTTTGAATCTGGCAAATAAGGATCACCGGTTCACTTTATTAAATTAACTAATGTCAGATAATTAATATTCTAAAAAAATGAAATTGGATTTAGGGGCGTTAAAATATAACGAACAGAAATGTATTCGTATGATCAATAAAATTTGAGACGCTTGTACCCATTTTGGCACCCGCGCCTCGCTCACTCTAAAATAATTCGTCACAACAACAAAGCAGAAAAATATACATATACTGATTATTAATATTAAATTAATATTAACATTAAATTAAGAAACGTTATTTCGTAAGGTTTTAACGTTTACTTTTCAGATATAAAAAAAAAAACCATGGCGCTAATTTCATTTGAGTGTTGCCAGATAGACTAACCAGTCTGGCAACACTTAAACGAATACGGCGGCATGTTCGTTTCTGTGTTTACGTTTGAAGTGGTGTAAGCATCGTCATGAGCGAAGAAACGGAAGAAGAGAAACGTCCGCAATTATCTCATCAAGAAGCCTTAAGTATGGTAGAAAAGGGAATTTCTCGCATAATAGCGACGGATCCTTTGTTGGCCGATCTTCCGGACGGAGTGACGTTGGAAGAGTTAAATTCGCTCTTGGCCTTGGAACAAGGACGGGCCATGACTTTGTTTGTGAAAAGAGCAGACGGACTGGTCTACGATATAATTATTGAACAGAAAACAAATGTTTTAGACTTGAAGAAAGCCATTCGGAGATACGTGACTACTAAATTGGTAAGTTTGCCTATGTTCTTTTGCAAGTAATATATTAAATAGTTAAAGGTTAAATATTTAATAGTTAAAGGATTATAATTAGCGAACAAATGAAATTTTGTATACAAAAAACAATAGCACGTACAAAGATTCAACATGTGCTTGTTTATGAATGGGACAATATAGCTGTCAAAAAGAGGTATATGATACCCTCTAGTGGTGACAGTCAGAATTAATCTTTTAAAGCCTTATGCTGTTTTTTAATTTCTCTTTCTCTGAAAGCATTAAGAAAGAACTTTGTATTACTATACAAGCAGTATGACGCTTTTATAGTTTTATTGGATCTTCTAATCTAACCCATCATGGATATGGTCGGGCCCACATTGGATAGAAGGGCCAACAAATCTGGGATAGATTGCTCCCAAATAATATTAATTATGTTTGTTTTGATTTATAAAGGTTCTAATAAATATATTAAAATTGATACTTATTTTCCTTGTTTTATTCGACAGGAACGAGAGGGAAAGAAGCGCACGATTAGCTGGAGATACGTGTGGAGGATTTACTGGTTATATTTCGAAGGACAGAAATTAATGAACGATCATTATTTATTGAAAGATTACGGAATTGGCAATAATTCGGAAATTACTTTTATTAAACGACTCAGGGTTAAATGAATCTTTCGATTCTGGTTAATTGTTTTGATTGATTTTATCGTGTAATGTATCTTACCACAGATTTTAATTGCTGAAAATATGTAAATCACTTTTATTTATATTCAGATCAGTTGATGATTTTTGTCTTAGCAGAGACTTGTCATATTTTTTCTACAAATTAAATTACGGTAGTATTGTCACAGAAATTAAATTGATATATATGTTAGAAATATGTTAAAAAATAGATTATCAGAATCAAATGTTGATAGATCAGAATGGAGTTACTGCATTTCAGAATATCAGACTGACTTAAATGCATAGGGTTGATTAGGCAGAGGATCATTAGCTATTGTTTATATCCTTCTTGGAGGTTTGGTGTTTATTTCCATTATATTTAGCATTCATTGTAAAGGTTATATATTTTTATTGTTTTATAATTGTAAATAATTCCTGAAGGATGATTGTCCGATGACAGAAGTTTCTACAGAAGGTCATGAGTGTAAGTAATTACTTTGCTACTTTTTCTACGCATCTTAAAATTAAAATATGTATATATTATTTTAATTTCATTACTATTCATATTATCTACTGTAGTAGTCTCGAAAACTCGGCCTAATGTGGGCTGAAGGGTGGCCGAGTTTGTGAAAATGCTGGGTTATCGGGAATGTGGTTAAAAAAGATAAGTATGCGTGTTTCCTCAGAAAATACTGTACTGTACTTGTATGTATTGTTTGCTCAAGAATACAACAGAGAATAAACTGCCCAAATACCCTTAAACAAAGGAAAAGTACGTACTTTATGAAGGCATAGGGCCTTTACTACATGGAAATGAAAATTAATGAATACACTGTGTACAGTAATTTACCTGATAAGACAGACCTCAGAAAAATACTTTATGAGACATAAAACTGTCTACAATGAAAATTAATTAACTAAGGATTTTTTTTCCCTATCATTGTNTTAGAAGAATATACTGTAAAATTAATCGATGTTTCCCTCTTAAATTGGAATAAAACATGGAAAATTCGATATTTTACTCTAAATTAAATATAATTTAATATGGGAATCATCAGTAAAATTTATGTTACGTCGATACAAAAAATCCACTGAATTTCTTGCAACGTTTCTATATAAAACATTCCACAAAATTTGAAAATATAATTGTAAAAACATTGAAAATCATCAAGTAATTTAATTTTTGAAAATAATTTATTTAAAGTATTTAATAATTTTCAATTTTTGCTCGGTCTGTCGATGCTCAAAAATTGTAAAAATTGCGAATTTCTTGTATCGAGGCGAGAAAAGGAAAGAAATTTAATTGTTGTTTTCCCCTCTCGAATTAAATTTAATTTATAATAAAATATAAAAGTTATATTTTATTAATAAAATATAACTCATTTAAATACTATAGATTGCCATTTCTAGTATGTAGAAATGACAATCTAAGTATTTAAATAAGTAGTTTTCTTTTTAGAACAATTGCATCTTCTCTTTATGTAAGAGCATATTCAATAATTTGTAGCAATGTATAACTGGATATTTTGAAGAACTGTATTATTTAAATGATTAGTAATTAAATTTGAAGTAACTAGTTAAAAATTGATTAATAATTGTAAATATTAAGTTAAAAAATTACTTCAAATATACAGGTGTATAGAATGACGTTTTAAAAATTTGTGGGATTGTAGAGGATAAAATTTTGAACGTTTTGATATAAGGAACCCAAAGCCAGAAATGTGATATAAAGTTTCTACAGCACTTTGCACTTTGCAGTCGGTATGCTGAATGAAACAGCAGAATACAGTATTTATGACAAGTTTTATTGACAAAACAGTAGAGTAAATGTTCAATATGACGACCATCAACTTCGTAACATACAGTGCAACAATGAACCATGTTTTGTCTGACTCTCTGTAAGATGCCACACTCCCCTCTGATGGTATTAAATGCTGAAAAGATGCGCTCTGTAAGCTTGTGAACTGTTCCTACAGGAGTTGCGTACACAAGGGACTTTACATAACCCCAGAGGAAGAAGTCAAGAACAATAACATGACGTCAATGGATGGAAGGTGCCAAAGTGAAGGGCAGTCAAGCACTTCCTACCGCTGTAGAAATTTTATATCACATTTCCGGCTATGGGTTCCTTATATCAAAATGTTCAAAATTTCATCCGCTACAATCCCTAAATTTTTAAAACATCATTCTGATACACCCTGTATAGAGGTTTCCTTTGCATTTGGAAAGTTGGGAAAAATCAAGGATTTTCATTAGTTTTTCAAAAAAGTTGTGTAACATCAGGAAATTTGTGAAAAAGTTAGGAAATTCACCTCCTCGGCTGTGTTGTTGAATTTTTTGCTTACAGTATGCTTGACTAAGTGCTGTCTGCATGCTGCAAGTAACGTGGTGCATTACAACTTATGAAAAAAAGTGCAGAATATTTTCAGAAAAAAAATTTCAATGCAGAAATGAATAAAAATGTCTAAATCTAAATGCTTTATACAAAAGTAGCTTGTTGAATAGTTATCTAATTGGATGTTGTTGTTATATTTCAAACAACAATGCACAGTTTAGAATGTCAACACATGTTTTTACAATGTTTATTTACTAAACACTACATTACAGTTTTAAAAATTGAAATGCAATAACTTTGGATATTTACTTAGCTGTGCAGTCCTGGCAGGTATAAATGTGCCCATCTAGTATACACAACTTGTAGACTTTGACTCCATATTTTTGTGATTTTTGAGAAATATACTGCCTTGACCTCACCAAGGAATCATTGTTTTGTTTATAACAGTCTCTTCCATTGGAAGTAGTAGCATTGTTGAATTTGTCAGAAAATTTAGTGAGAATCTTTCTAACTTTGTGCAGGTGGTCACTGTGGTGAAATAAATTTTTATCAGAAAAATTCCAAATTTCAGCAGAAGTTTGAATAGATCTTGAAGCACAACCAATTTTATAAGGTGGTTACAAGAAATCTTTGAACCAATAAAGTCTGATATTAAAGAAAAATAGCCAGGAACTTTGACAGTTCATTGGTTGTAGGGCATCATTTTTTCAAACAAGATTTCGACGTCAAAATCTTGCTTGCTAAATATTGATTAGCGTATCTGTTTGTCTCTTCTGTCATATCTACAATATCATCACTGACAAAAAATTGGAAAATGCCCAATAGATCATCCACAATAGTGTTAGAGGTTCAACATTTGATTTTCTTGAAATTTTGGAATGTTATGAGGTGTTGAACCAATTAGTTACCATACAGAAATAGTAGCTTGCTGAATGGTAGAATCATTACTGTCAACATCATCATTGGCAAATGAATTGTCATCAGGGGTGTCAGGACATTCTTCACCAAAAGTGATTCAGATTCTTATCTGAATAGGGTTCAAAGTTTGAATCCTCCATGTCATCATCACAGCTTCCAGATTCATCACTTTTTGAAACACCCACATAGTGACTGACTGGTTTTCTGATATAATGTTCCATCTGTAGGATTTTCTAATCATATCAAATAATACATATTATGAAAGAGTTCATTTATCAAACACAAAATAAAAGAGCCAAAGCCATATTCAAATCAAAACAACTAACCTGACACTCAGTATATGATGATGACATTTCTACTGAGTTGGATTATTGCTGCATCATCTTATGCAATTCTTATGTCTTGATGCCTAGCATAGTTGGCTAAGATTGTCATGCTTGTGTACTTATTTTCCTTGAAATGATAAACCCAAAGAAAATCATTTTATTGTGTCGGGAGTGTATCCCATTTCTCTAGATCAGCATTTTTACAAAAACTTACATATATGGGAGCTACAGCAAGGAGCCTGAAAGTAAGACTCAAGGAACATAAGTATATGATCAACAAGAACATGAACAGCACAGTCTTAGCCAACTACACCAAGGAACAAGACATGAGTTGCATGGGAGGATGCAGCAATAATCTGACCCAATAGCAATTTTAACATCCTCCAATACTTTGAAATGATTATGATGTTGATACCAGAAAAAACAAATAAGCTTACTCTTGACAACCCACTTTCACAAAGAGTTTTCTAGAATGTGACCATTATAAGTTTGCACCAAAAGTGCCACCTAGTACAAAGGCCACAAGACACAAGTGACTTGTACCATGCACAATTGACTTTTCTTACGATAGGGCTTCACAAGTCACCCATAGCTTACATTACTTTAGTAATATTTTAACTGTGTGTAATGATATAATATTTATAGGCTGAATAGGATGCCTATAGCTTTGGTTATCAAAATAATTGCCCTGCTCCATAAGAAAACCATGAATTCTGAGAGCTTCCATAGCTGAATGCCTGTGTACAGTCATGTCTCGTAACATTGCTAATATGTTAAAGTTATGCAATTAACCAAATTTACCTCTCATTCTAACTTGAATATATCTCAAAAACTGAGTAATTGTAAATATACCACTCACCAAATAAACCAACACCAGTTCATGACACGAAGAAAGAAAAATTCGTAGGAACATTTTCATCTATGTGAAATAGATATCTTCAGGTATCAGTGTTATCGAACAAATCGCCAGTAAAATAGAATTTATTTTACTGGCCATTCGTAAGAATTTTTCTTTTCTTGCATCATGAAATGGTGGTTTATTTGGTGAGTGATTCTAACTTGTTTGTTATGACTATTTGCTTTGATTTATTTATCTATGAATGTTAACTAGCCAATTAAAGCTACTTTAATATTTTTGTTTATAGTTACTTTATAGTTCTTAATATTTCTTTATTACAGGGCTATGTCTTTTCTCTTGTCGTGATCAAAGTGTATACTTTCCCTCCTATTCTTAGGAAGGAAAGTATACACTTTAACCTTCATGAGAAATTTCCTGAATTTAACTTTCTCAAATATTTTGATGATATGAAACCGTGCTTTGCTATTTGTTTATGCTTCTGGCACAATATAGTGCTATAAATTAGGACACTTGGCGGATTTTCTCATCTTTATTTAGTTGATACGTGTGGAAAAAATTACACGTTTCGAGCTCTTAAGCCCCTCTTCAGTCAACTAAAACATTTAAAAAGGATATAACATACACATAAAAAGGAATA